CTCTCTTCTATAAATCCGCTCGATCATAGATAAAGAAAACGGTCCAACTGTATTTAAATATGTAAAACCCACTGGTGTGTCGTATTTGTGATATATTGAAACCGTTCTTTAAAATTGAATGGCCGTACAAACGCAGCCATAATATTATGCAGAAACCAGCCATCCGCTCTGCGCTAATTTCATTAAACGCCATCGCGTTATTAAATCGATAGTGCGTATGCGATACGATAAAAAATTATAATGCGCGTGCGAGCACGCGGGTTTATGTATTGTTCCCTTGCCTATTTTTTATACTATCGATGAATATTCACGAACCGAAAGCCGCGGCGATTTTCATGAATACGTCGCCACATATTTTCTCTCTCAAGGAAAGTTCGCGTAGCGAATACGTTGCACCTAAGTTTTTAAATTACACAGTCTATATGCACTCGAAAGAAAGGACAACCAGGAAGATAACTAAGGGCGAGTTTCACAAACGCCGGTTAACTGCTAACCGAAGATTAATTGATTCTCTGTCTCTTTTTACGTAATAAGATAGAAAAAGATAGAGGGAGCTGACTGAACTCTGGTTAACAGTTAACCGACGTTCGCGAAACCGGCCCCAAGACAACGAAGATGTTATACGATGATATTCTCCACGAGCTTAGTCGATAGCTATTGAGCAATAAAATCAATCAATACAGCATCTTGGAAAATGTTAACAAAATTATCATTCTTTTATATCATTCTCTGCGCAGTCTACAAAATCCCATAAAAACAGCAGCCCGAGGGGGAAACCGCTGAGCAAAGTCTTGTACACCAATGCCTACTAATGCCCAGTGGGCATTACTTTATCTTAATTATCTTGTTTCATCTTTATAATGCCCAAAGTAATTCCCAGAAAATGCCCAGTAATGCCCAGTAACGCAGGTCTGTACACCACAATGCCCTCAGCGGTTTTCCCCCTCGCCAGCAACCGTTGCCTTTTTATGCGGAAGAATGGAATCGCGGGGTGTAGAGAGAGAAACGACGCCGTTATCCGTCGACTAACGTGAACGCACGAATATTCTTGAGAAACGCGCCGATCTTCAAATCGAATCAGCTTCGGGGCAGAAAATCAGGCAGGAAAAATCGACCCGGGACTCTGTCGCAGAATTCGCCGTCCGTGGGGCTCAGTCATCGATAAAGCGAAAAGCGTTGCGGCGAGAGTTGGGTGTCAAGGGGGACGGCGAAAGTACATTAGACGGTAATTAAAAGTGAACCTATTACCCTGGCTAACGGGGCGTGAAATGCATTAAATCGTTTACAAATTACAGCGTCTGCGAACGCTGGAAACGTCTGCCGTTACGTGCACGCGGGAATCGCGCAGCAAACGGTCGGAGCAACTCGATATTTTATTACGAAAGATATCTTATCGAGATAAATGAAGAGCTCCGAGCCCCCTTTTCCGGTCGTAAAAGGAAAAAAAAAGCTTTAATCCGACAATTCCGGCGCTCGTCCATTCGACGGATTTCAGGGAGGGGGGAAACCGCCGAGGGCATTGTGGTGTACAGATTTGCGGCATTACTGGGCATTACCGGGCACTTTTTGGGCATTAATTTGGGCATTAGGTCTTGCTGGGGCATTATAAAGATAAAATAAGATAAGAAGGTAAAGTAATATGCCCACTGGGCATCAGTGGGCATTGGTGTACAAGATTTCGGTCAGCGGTTTCCCCCTCGGATTCCAGTAAAGCGACAAAACATTCTGATTATCGGAATTTCTCGATTAATAACGCGAAATTTGGCGATTTGCGCGCGAAATGAAATTTATCGGTCAAAAGGGTACAAATCGAAAATAACGATTTGCGAAATACGAAATACGTTAGGAACGCGAAATTGGAATTTCGACAAACTATCGCGCGTAAAATTAGTTAATTGTTACAATAAATGCTACAATAATGTCCCGTTAAAATTAATACTCTCCGCCGTTGGATAATTAATTCATATACGTTGCGCGACGATTCACGCACACGTTGCGACGCGTTTCGATAATTTAACCCGCGGGTTTGCGCGAGAGACGCGTAAACACCGTGTACAACAGGGCGTGCCTTCGATCGCTGCGGCGAGGCTCGATATATTTTACGACGGGAAAAGTCCTCGCGGAGTTCGGCCGATTTGAAAAGCCCTCGTGAACTTAACTCGCACGAGCCAGTGGACCTGTCGCCACTTGTTGAATGTTTATGAAGAAGAACAGAAGTTGAAAGTACCCTCGAATCGTTTCGGCCAATCGCAAATTTCGAGTGGAGATTAAACGTTTGCCTTTAAAACGTATGCCTCGAGAACTCCCGCGGTCGAGCCGCTGAAAGCGGCCGGTAAAAAGATCGCGAGGAAAGTAACGGCACGCTTCGTCGTTCGTTAACGTCGTTGAAGGGAAAAAAAAAGAACCATTCGAGCTGCTGAACCGCACTGAAATACAGACGGTTCGCGAATGTGGAAAACATTATGGCCGGTTATATTCGTAGTCGAGTCTTCATTCAAAATCGTCTCAAGCGTTGTCTTGAGAGGCTAATACGGCGTCTGTGATTGGTTAAAAAAGCACCGAGGGGACAATTTCGCAAACGTCGGTTAACTGTTAACCAGAGTTCGGTCAATTCCCTATCTTTTTCTATTCTTGCTCGCTAAAAAGAGACAGGGGATCAATTGACCTTCGGTTAGCAGTTAACCGATGTCTGGGAAACCGCTGAGGGCTTTGTGGTGTCCAGATTTTCGGCACTACTGGGCATTACCAGGCATTTCTTGGCAATAGCTTGAGCGTTAGGTCTTGCTGGGACAATATAAAGATAAAATAAGACAAGATACAACAAGATAAAATAAGATAATAAGATAAAGCAATGCCCACCGGGCATTAGTGGGCATTGGTGTACAAGATTTTGCTCAGACGACCTGGTTCTTCATTTTCTGGCTAACTGTTAACTAAACGTTAGTCGATCCTCGACAATAATGTAAAAGCAGATGGAGGGTCCGCTGACTTCCGATTCGCGGTTAACCTGAAGACGAAAACCTGGGCCTGAGATGACGTTCAAAAAAAAAATGGAGTCGACTAGCCTCTGTTCAACGGTTGACCAGAAGATGAAAAACCGTTGGCCAAATGACGCAGAGTCTCGCGCGCTTTATATCCTCGGCTCGAGAATCTTTCGTGTTCAGGCCGCACCGAAGACTCACCTTTCAAGATGTCCGCGACGAGGAGGAGGAGGAACAGCGTGCATAACTGGCGGTGATCCCTGCGTGCCATGATGTCGTCCCACGGCGAAACACACGAGACAACGCACTCAAGTCAATTGTTAGACGCGCACGTACACGGGGAAGCGCGAGGATCCCGCCGAGCGTCGCGCATACTCGAGGAAAGCAGACCCGGGATGCCCGGAGACGCGCGCGTTCCCGTCCGCCGACGCGACTCGCAGCCTGTGCAAATTTCAAATTTTCAAGATGGAGCATGCGCGCGCGCCGCCGCCGCCGCCGCCGCTCGGCGTAACTGACCGCGACGTTTCGGCATCCACGCGCGCGCGTTTCTCGCACGAGCGGATCGAAGGGGGTCAAAACTCACGTGGTATCCAAGTCCGCGGCGATATCCGTTCGCCCTCGACCGTCGGTGCCGCAAGTCCGTGTGTCCGCGCGTCGCACCCGCCAAGCGTAACCGCCGTGAATTTGCGCACGAATCGCGGCGACTCCTTCCCGCGCGAAAGAGGGCGGCCGCCGTTCCTTCTCGAACTTGCTGCGCGGTACCGCGCTACGAGGAGCCGTTACGGTGCCGCCGCCAAAGTGCCGCACATCGCGCGTCAACTGTCAACGCTGACAACTCCGCTGTCGTCGGTCGCCGGAGACGCGCACGTACGGGGGCAACGCGCGCTCGCGCGCGCGCTCGGACACTTACCAACGGGCGTACATGTCCCCCCCGCGTTCGACGCGACGTAATTGCTCGAGCTGATCGTACGAATTGCGGCTGTACGTCCGGGGGCCGGCGCGACGAGACGGCTCCTCGACTTCGTTGACCGAGAACCGGCCTCGGCGACGCGTGTCACTCCCGCACAGTCCCTCACGCACACAGGCAGGCGCAACGGAACGGTCGAGGTGTCGCGCGACACTGCCGGCCGGCAGCTAACTTCGCGCGGTCTCGGCGCCGCTCGGGTGACGCGCACGCGCGCCGCCAGCCGCCGGCGGTGGGGGCGCGCGCATAAAGCCGCCGCGCCGCGCCGCTCTCCCCACTTTCGCGCCGCCCGCCGGCCGCGTCGCTCGCCCGCGATGCCTCCGTCTCGCTCGCAACAAGTTGCGGACAGCGCGCGTGACCGCGCGAGGGAGAGGAGAGACATCGGGGGTGCGCATTCGGCGCGGCCGCCTGTAATGAAATCAGATTAATGGCCCGACGCGGCGCGCGGCCGTAAAACAATCTTCGCGTTTCTTCCCGCAGCGCCGATCTTGGCGTTCGCGCCGGATGAGACCTGGCCTCGTTGTGCCGGTGAAATTTTAGGCTTTATTCGCGCAGACGTTCTGTAGTTAAGTGGGTACACTTTAGAGGGGAAATATAAGCCTTCCGCGCGTCCCGAGGTCGTCTTTTGTTGTCCGATCGTCATCTTAGCTTGGCTGGACCGTCGGAGCAGGTGGTCGATCCTTCGGAGCTGTAGCATACGCTGTGCTGAAATCATTCGTAGCGATTGTACAAGAGTCTTATTGAGACAGCAAAATAAACGGCTACTCGTTATAGAATGTTAAATTCCAGTTCTCTTAGAATCTACTAGAATCTACGATAATCATCAGCTCGGGAAAAGTGCATCCGCTCGTATGCGTTTCGTACAACTGAAGCCAACGGCGCACGATACCAGTTTTCCCGCTGAATCGCTTGCGAGAGCAATAAGGATGCAGAATTTGAGATCGGGTGATTTAAGGGTAGATTCCAGGGGTCGATTCTGTATCTTGCGCTATGGTGAAAATGCTAAAAGTGTGCTCTGTCTCGTTCTAACTGTTCCCTTAGGAAGAGACAAAGCCGCTCGCTTTTAAGTTCACCGATCTACAATGCGTTTTTCGCAACGAGAAACGTTCCGTTTTATACAGGCGAGTCGACGCGCTTAAACATTTAGTCGACAGTGCACGATTGTGCAATGTATAATATACAGTTGATCAACTCGCACAAAAGTTTTCAACGCGTCCATCGACTATAAAATAGAATGTTTCTAGGCGCAAAGAACACACTGTAGACCGGGCCTTAGCATTTTCGCTACGTCGCAAGACGCAGAATTGATCCCCTGATTGATTCTCGTAAGCAAACCTAGCGGAAAAAATTTCTATAACTATACAAAAACTTGAAATAGAAATTTTTATATCTTCGTTGAAACATTTGTTTTTCTGCAAAAGTATCCTCGAAACAGTACCACAAATTACGACGCTCTCAAATCAAGAAATTATTGCAAGATTTAGAAAAGTGTACAATCTTGTCAAAATTCGTACAAAACTTTGCTGGTTTAACCAAAGTGTTCCAATTCTAACGATTTCATGGTTGATTTTTATGACACTTTTTACGTAGAATTTCTTAGATTCACATTTAATTTTTTCGTAGAACTTTGTAGAATTATTTCCGGCGGGGAATCCAGTAGGAAAAGTAGTGTCGTGTGCCGTTCGCTTAAATAACAAGGTAAATAGTTATTAACTTTGAAAACCGCACGACCCCTGGGCATTCCTAATTGCGGAGCGGAGGTGGATTTAGAGTATTTCCTTCTCCTGCTGATCGAAATAGTGAGACGTAAGATTGCGATGAAAATAGCACAGCGCGATACGATCAATTCGGTAATCGGCGTAGACACAACCGCGGTGCCGTTCTGACATTATTAACGGACAAATATTATTTTGATGCAAATAACGCGGCGGGGTAACGTAATTAACGTAAAAAGACACGCCCACGGATAAATTCTGCTGCTATCGCTGACGACATCTCTGCTGCTGTAACTCATCGCGGCCAGGCAACGTTCCTCGTCCGCGTGCTCCTGGCATCCCCCTGGGCATCGTCCAAACCTATCTCTCCACCATTCCTTCAATTTTTCAACCACGCCCTTACGCAACGGCTTCGAGGGGCAAGTATCTGGCTGGCAGCAGTCCGTATTCTCGTAGAGAACCGCGAATCTGGAGAGAGGAACACGGATTGAATATTACAGCATCCCCCAAGAATCCGTTTTTTTTTCACAAGATTCTAGGCGAATCTTACAAGCCGATTCAAAATTTAAATAACACATTCACGTGCACACTAATTGATCTGAATAACAAATAGCTTGAACGCAATTTTAAATAAACTAGTCCCTTAAATAAAATTTTCAGTGTGGGACTTGTAACTGTTTTCAGTGATGATGCACTGATTGACTTTTAGAGAGTAGATATTTAACATAGACATAATTCGGAGTAAAACTGGATGTAATACGAAGTAGAAAGACTCGAGGGAGAGAGTGACGCCTTAACTTACGGTGTAGCCTTTGATTCGCAGGGTGTGCAGCCCTCGGAGGGCTTGGTGAGAAATCTGTAGCACACCAGGCTCAAGCCCACCAATAACCATATCACCAGTACGGATACCAAAACTATAATCACGAGCTCCGTAGGTCCGAGTGCCGTTGCGCCGTCGTCTGAATTCAATCGGCACAAATTTAATCGTCTTACAATTTAGCTACGGAGCCATTTAATTGCGCCTTTGAGCATTAGAAAGTAGTACTGTTGAATTAAGTGATACAGTTGCGAAGGCGAAAAAACCTTATTGTCTCGCGAGGGAACAACCTACTTTCTCCTTTTCCTTTGTAAAGCGGCGGCGCACTCCCGTCCGTCTGACTCGCACGTTCCGTACCTACTTTCGGCATAACTTGATAAGTACCACTCGTTCTGCTCCTCACGATATCGTCGCCAACATCTGAAACATCAAGTCGTAAGAGATATATGCTGTACAATCATTCGCGAGAAGAAACATCGCGTGAGATACAACGAAGGTTGAGGCTTTCAAATCGATCGTTGCATTAATTTTCTCTCTACTTCCAAGTTTCCAACACAGAACAGACGACCGTTGATTGATCGTCTCTAACGCGATGTTATTGTAAAATAAACCAAAACTTTCCGTATACGCGATGAAAACGTTATGTGAAGCAAAATGCACTGGGGTCATTTTGATCCTCGAGGCGCATCAAAGGGTTAATGGACACGCGTTTATATTTTACTCCCCTTGAAAGCGCACGATGAAATCGCGCACGAATTCGCGAGCACGGTCAGAGAAATGTTGCAGTGGCTGCAGTTTCTTAGCTACGCGAGGACGCTTAAACGGAATAGCATATCGGTCTCGTTAATTTTCAAACGCGGCGAATTGCAACGAAAGACCGTCATGAAATATTACCCGATTCTCGCAAGGTAGCCAGTACTCGGAGGACACCACCGAATGCCGGATACCATTTCTCGTCGTCTAGGTGTCGACGCACCTGGAATGCGAGAAATGTCTTTCTTTGCTCCGCGTCCAAGATTAATCTTGAACGACCGCGTTAATAATTGTAAAATAGTCTGCGAAAAAGGAATAGAGCGTGATTTCTCTAGCGTGGAAGCTCTACCCGGTGAGAAATGATTCGTCGAATCGACGTCAACTTGACAGTGTCAATATCGATTCGACATCGCTCGACGAGTCATTTCTCGCCGGATAGAATTCTTTCTCCAGACATCCTGCGGTTTATATTATCGTTATTTCATCGAAGATCTGCTGATGATGTACAGATTGTTGCAACCAGGCGTAGAAGTCCTTGTTGAACTTTCGCAGCCGCGCTTTCGCGCTGGACCGCGAGGTGATGCACTTGACGCTGGCGATGTAGTACTTCACGAGGGTGAATGCCGATTTTTCCGCGTACAGTGATTGCAGGCTGTCGGTTTTGAAGGGCAGCGCGATGCTAGATAGAGAGTGACGCGTTGAGGCTGTTTGATCGCCCAGGCATTCTTACAAATTGCCACTCGATAACTACCTGTTAGGCTCTGCTTCATTATCGAGGAACGGGAGGGGTATTGTGACTTCGCTAGCCGTAGCTTCGTTACCTTGGTAAAAGAAAAAGTCCAGCGATAATTGGTACTCGTATGCAGCACTTGAAATTAAAAGTAAACCGTAGTGTAAAATTTCCCAGCTGTCGTAGACAATGTTTTGCGGTGATCCTTTCAATCTCTTTACAGAACGGATACACGGAGAGAATTTCCTCGTAACATTTAGCTTGACAATCATGCAACCGTGGAACGGCACGGCATTTCGAAGAATTTTATGCGTTTGTTTTGAAAACTAGTAATTAAATTTAATATAAATTTTATTAGTAAAAAATGTATAGTGAAATTTAAAAGAACTTTTATATAGTTCTTCAAAATGTCATGTTCCACGATTGTTTTTAGGATGAATTTTAAGAGAAAATTCTCTCCGTGTAGTTTTACATTGATTTACTTTTAACTTACAATTAGTTACATAAATTATCGATTTTTATACAAAAATAGTTTCTTATTTTTTTTAGATGACAAAGATTGTACTGCTTTTAGCTCTCATTCGTGTGTCAGCCATATGTGGAATACTAAAATAGTATACAAGTGTCGTTCAAAGTTAAACTCGTTCCTTCGCTCTCACCGTCGACCGCACGTCTCGAATGTCCCCGCTTCATCGTAGACCGTTTCTTCTTTCTGAACGTGAAGCTTCGGTAGTCACCGCCGTCACGTTCGGAAGCTATTTACGTGAGAAACAAACAATTGTCAGATCGTTTCACAATTCCAAATCGAAGCGTGCATTCGATACAGTTTTTTAAATTTGTGATTGGATTTTCAATTTTTTCCCAGGAATCCAGGACTAGGTTTTCTCCTTTTGTAAAGTGCTTACCGCTTACAAAATTAAGTATCAAACTATCTATGTGACATGCATTTTCGTAATGTCTTCGAACCGCGAAGGTTCAATCAGAGCCGGGACTAGACACACTTACACGCCGAATACGTAATAAGCCCATTACAGGCGACCGACGTTTTCGGTGGTGTAATTACGATGGGGGGGATCCTGACGTTCGTAAGGACCTGGCTGGGCTTGGACCATCCGGCGCCGTTGGTCTGAAGGAAGTCCTTCAGCTCGTCGAAGAGCTCGAACAGCATCCTCGCGTTACGATACTTGATGTTACCCGCGTAATACGAGTGCCTTGTGATGGGGAGGATGTGGACCCGCAAGTAACCGCCCAGAGTGTCCGCCAAAGCTTTCAGCATCAAATGCTTCGTTTTGCCCACGGACAGCCTCCGCACGCTCTCGAGGCATATGTGAAAATAGTCCATGAGATGCGCTATATACTGATCATTCTGGGGATCGATGACATTCACCTGGAGGAGAGAAAAATTTTAGAAAGCTTCCTGTGCGTTCCTTTAAGCCGAGCACTTATTACGACCTCCTTTAACATTTTTTACATAAATAGAAAAATGAAACAGATACATTCCTTTTTAGGAACAGAGTTCTCAAAGTTGGCTGCGCTCAGCGGAAGAAGCTACGTCGCAGCAGCTGTAAAATTCGTAAAGACTGGAGTATGCTCTTAGATTCTGCCACAATTAAAAGCATACGCCAATCAGATTCAAGATTTTTACAACAGTTGGAAGCAACTTTTTCCACTGAACGCGGCCAAAGTTCTTGTGATTATCTTAGGTGCTTCCATCGGCCTTACTTGGGGCAGAATATCCTGAAACATCCTCCGACTACTAAGAATGGTAAATTCATCGCTTGCCCAACATTGCTTTCCATAATCGTTTCTTTCGAATAAAACGGTACCGGTTTTGTGACCATGTTTAAAAGATTTAGCCTCGATTACCCTGTCACGAACAAGACAGCAAATAGATTAAAAACTTTAATCAGTAACACGATTATGTTCGATGTAAATATTAATCAGGGAAGAATTAATTTACTTAAACAAATGCTGGTATTGCACAAAGTTAAATAAACGTATACATTTAATTAAATGTCACGTCTTTATCGAATGCAACAAACCTTTTACTGAAAATGTAGCCTACAAGTACTAAAGAAAACCACAAGGAACATATATTCATGCTCCGAAACACGAATTCCAAATGTTCAACCGCGTGATTTTTTTTCACGGGTTTCTTGGATATTTTTGACAAGCCTATAACAGTTTGTGCCCATCATTCTACCCACACTATCACATCTTATTTCGTGTTAATGAAACAATAACTTCAGACGTGATTGCTTATTTTATGAACACATAAATTTATAAGAAAAGTGCACTTGTTTACATCAAGGTAAAAGTGGCGATCGTGGCGCAGAGGATTGTGCGCTGGTCTGGTAATCCGAAGACCCGGGTTTAAAACCAAACAAAAACATTGTTGGTTTTTCGTTCGATCGCCACATAGCGAAGTGGATATAGAGAGAGGTGTTATAAGAAGCCGTGTTTGGGCACGTTCCTTCAAAAACGCCTTGTAACCCTAAGGGGAATCAATAAAATGTACTAGTTACAAGGTAAAAAAAATCAAGAAAAGAGGAGATAATGAGTGGAATATGAGAATGTGAGAGAATGGGAGAAAATGACACAATGTTACACAAGATACAATTGTTACAGGTTAAATATATTTATTTGTAGTTGTAACAACTTGATTATCCAAATGTGACAGTAATTTACGTCCAATTGTAAAATTGGATAATCAAGTTGTAACATAAAATAAAAACATAATTTTCTATTACTATAAGTAATAAATAGATGATGTACGCGTAATCTATTTATTACTTATTATTATTATACATACCACGCTTTAATATTGCGTGTAGTAGAAAATTATGTTTTTATTTTATGTCGACCTTCTCGTGCGCTTTCATTTTACACAAAAATCGCAGTTGCATAATCTATTTATTACTTATTATTATTATACATACCACGCTTTAATATTGCGTGTAATAGAAAATTATGTTTTTATTTTATGTCGACCTTCTCGTGCGCTTTCATTTTACACAAAAATCGCAATTGCAAGAACTTTATTTCGTCTGTGTTAAGTTTTACGACACCTTCTTGATTGTCGATCGAAAGTAAGGTGCCGACCGATTCGCGGTCTTCGCCCAGGATCACTTTGACTCGGTCGCCGCGCGACGGTACCACGGGCTCCAACTGTTCGCACACTAGGTTCACAACTCGGTCCTCGGTTGGTAGATAAACAGTGCACATACCACCCTGTTGCAAATAAAAATATGTCAATCTTGGAGAAGAAAACTTGGAAAGATGCGTATACATCAGCTACCGATATCGCGACAATATCTCACTTTACCGAGAATCGGCACAGAATCACTTACTGAAATTCCTCGGATGACTGCTTGTTGTCCAGCGAGAGCAGGATCATCGTGGGAGTCGCGAATGCGTACTTCGATATCCGTCGTATGCCACTCCGAGCTACCCATGACACCAGAACCGACTGCGTCCAGTCCTGAACCAGGTGTGTGTGGATTGTATGGACTACTTGGTACTCCTGCAACAATTACGAATTATGCTTAACGAGTATTGCACCTCATACCGAGCCCATAACTTGTTGCGATCAAGAATTTGCTTCCGCCACTCATAGCTCCGTGTGAAAACAATTGATTCGTATTCGACAGATTCTGGTCTCGATCCCAGCCCTCAGATTCCGCTATCGTCGTTATATCACTTACCAGGTGTCATAGGACTATAACCCATCGGAGAAGGTGTTGCAAATGCACCGTGTGGGCTGGTGGTGTATCCAGTGCCGCTTGGAGACGGAGTAGCAACGTAGCCTGTGGGACTCGGGCTCGCGGTAGCACTGCCCGCAGGACTAGGACTCGGCTGATACGAGCTGAAGCTTTGTTCCGAGCCGTACATGGTGCCCGGAGTCTGTGGGGTAAACGGCCCACCGGTGGGAGGATATCCGGGCCCGTAACCGGGCGAGCCACCTTCTTCTATACTGTAGCCGTCGAAATCGTTTGTCCTGGCGGGTGTGTTAGTAACTGACGGGTCCCAGGCGCCAGATTGTCCTGGCGTTCGCGATCCATCGTGAGACGGCGTCATTGAACCGTAATGAGGGGTGCGAGAACCGTCTGTAACATTGAAATAGAAAAAAATGTCCACACTTTCCACACGTATATCGTACAAACAGAAAATATACAGAATAGAAAAGTATACTCACTCTCGTACATAGGCGTTTGGGAACCGTGCATGGGTGTTTTTGACCCGTCCCTCGCGTACATTGGCGTCTGCCCACCGGCTCCGTAAGCCGGGGTTCTATTGTAACTACTGAAACCGCCGTCCTTTGTCGGGACGCCGACGTTTGCAATATGTGATCGATCGACGGAGATTGTCTGGCACGTGGAGTGTAGTTCCACGCGCGCTGTTGTCTCCGTCGCATCCTTTACAATGCCCACATTTCCCTTGTAGGGCCCACCCGTTATTTTGATGGTGGTTCCAATCAATTCCCTGTCGCGTCTTGCACCGCCGCCGCCACGGCCTCTGCCTCTTCCACCGCCGCCACCTCGTCCAAAACCACCTCTGTAAGATTGATCAATAGTTGACTACAAGTAAACTTTAAAGGAGCATATCGAGAAAACAAATACACAAAACGAGAACGAGAGACCAACCCGCTGGGATGCATCGGAGAGGCAATTCTAGGTGACATAAATCCTGCCACTGGCGACATAGAATTGATGGAAGTTGTCTTATTTCCACCGGATAATTGTAAATGTCTGGTCTTGCATACGAATATTCCACCGTTGTCGACGAACATTCTCGAGTGTAAAAAGGCAAAGCTTCGGTACAGGTGTTTAATTTCACCACCTCGGCCCGCATGCGGTCCGTCGACCACTTTAACAATGTCTTTTTTCTGTATGGTGTTCTGTTGCGAGTCTAGAGCGACCGCGTTTCTATTTTCTCGGCGCTTCGTAAGACCTTGCGGTCTCGCTTCGACCACCTTGCCATGCATAGAGAGGACGTGGAAATTCTCACGTTCCAATCGGACGATAACACCGACTGTCTGTGCGTCGAGTTGCACCAAGTCACCCCATTGGAATTGACCTAAGCTATCAACGCCGGTGGCCATATCAGAGCACAACTGCAGATCCCTCGGGAGGACCTCGAGTTCGTGCATTGACAAATCGGAAAATAAAACTACTCTATTTTGTTCTACTCTAACAATTAAACCTGTATCACCCTCGTATCTTCCTGCTACAACCTGCAAATTAACGAAACTAATGTTGTAACATTGTAAAAGAAGAAATTCTGTTTTAAAAACGAAATATCGAGCAAACTTTACCTTAACGTGATCGCCCTGAGTGAAATATTTTCGCAACTCTGAAGCTTGGAATTCCAAAGCCTCTTTAAGTTCTTCATGCTTCGGCATAACCATAATCATGTTGCCGTCTATAGAAACGATCTTTCCCTGTAGATTTATCAATTCACCCTCGCAAACCTCCACATTATCTCCGTTACTGAAGGAATGTGTTACATTCGGATCTTCTTTCCCAGAAGTCCCGGTCCCTGGCGTGCCACTTAAATCAATCTCAACACCTTCCGGGGCTTCTTCAAATCTCTCCAATTCGGAAAGCGTAGGTTTCACACCCTCCGCGATAATAGCACTTGTGGTGAAATTTTTATAAAGGAACCTGCACAAAATAAGTTAGTTTATTCTAGTGTATACGCCCTTCGGCTTGTACACGGCGCTTTTTCCAAGGAGCGTACCCAAATATTCTTACAAAATTACTATATCTCTCTCTCCTAATAAGAAATAAGTTAAATTCGATTAATAACAATAAACACGATTGCTAAGAGATTTTTTAATAAAACACAAACCCTTTACGACTGTATCGATTTCCTTCAAAAATAAGGAAATCTCCATCGCTAGTAACCTCCCCGCCGATAGAACGGATCGCTTCGGGATCGAATGGTTTCGCTGGCGGTCGTCTCTTCTTCTTACGTTTCAACGCTTCGGATTCACTCTGCGCCGTTCTCAATGCCCCGCGTGGTCTAGTGTAATCGATTCTCGGAAGCAATTTCAAGTGGACTTGGTTCTGTGCTAAGTCGACGTAATCAACCTGAGCTATGTCATCTTTATAGATGCCTCGCTTCAAACGGACCCATTGCTTGGCTTTTAAACCGGTCTGCTCTTTAACTACGCGCAGCACATCTGTCATCTCCTTAATTGGTACCATTTGCTGCTTCCATATACCCATCCTGAGATTTCCAACATTTTCGATAGCAGCTTTCACATGCGGCTGCTTGTAAGCTTCTATGTAAATGTAACCTTTAACACCTTCCGGCGCGACAACGGATTTTATCTGCAGGGGCTCGTCTAAAATTTTTTAAAAGGCAAATATTTAGAGATACGCGAAACGAAGCACGAGATCGTGAAGACACGATCTTTCAAATTTATATTTCTTACTGGAAAACTGATACGTGATGAATTTTCGCATCAATAGGAGCACGGTGGCTTTCTCTTCTCCTATTCGGCACTTGACCATCCACAAATTGGGATCCTTCACGCCGGGCAACAAAGTTTGCTGAGTGATTTCGTCGCTCATTTCTTCGCCGCCGTCGCCAAAGCGACGGGCGGCAATCGACTCGTCGGCATACTTCTTCCGGAGATACTCCTCAATCTCGTCCTCCTTCTGCGAACTAGAGAATCCGTTCATTGCAAACTCGACCGTTACAGATACGAGATGCGCGACATTAGCTCGGAAATTTTAACACTTACTCCCAGAGGTTTGTACCTCTGCGCCGTCCTTCAATCTCGCGTGCAGTCGGTCCCAGCTCATCCACCTCGTTTCCCACGATACCAATTTCTTGGGCACCTTCCTCCCACTCATCGTCATCCTCAACTTCGTCGTCTACCTCAGCCTCATCGATGATAAAACCACCGAACCTGTCCTTCTTTTTTTTCTTCCTCGGCCTGTCATCATCCTCCTCATCCTCTTCCTCGTCGTATTCACTGCTGTTATCTAAATCTTCTCCTGCAAATACGAAACATATATATATATATATATAACAAGAAATTATACAACAATGTTGCGTGTGCGACTAGAAATCGCACGATTTGTACCTTCGGGTTCCTCCTCTGGTTCCACGGCTTCCTCATCTCCGGATCTGACTTCTTCTGCCTCGTCTAGCTTAGCTTCTCCATCCTCTGAGCTGTAAGTAAAATGAGCATTACGTAACAAAGTGAGGCAGTTGATGGGCTAATAATCTAAGCAAAAACAAGTTACGTTAATTTATAGTTTGCTCAAGAGGTAAGGAATCAAGTAAACACTTGGACTATGATTGCGAACTGTCAGGAGGAATTTTCGACAAGAACGCCGGAACCGCCCAGCGCTGAGCGCGGTGAGAGCGTACGCAAATGCAGAAGCTCGCTGTAGGACTTTGTGGTTGAAGGAAGAAACTTAAGAGCGTTTATGTTAAACAAAAGAAAAAAAAACCGTTTATTTTAATAGGTTCGCGGGAGACGTGAGGTTCGCAACCGTTGTTCGGAAATCTTGGATGATCCGTTCACTCGCTGCTTTAACGCCCGTCGGAAATCTTGCCGAGCGCCGGACTGAGCGCCCACTCGAGCGGAAATCTTCGACGCGAGCCGCCCGGAGATCTTCTCGCGAAGCAGCCGGATCACGCGAAAACGAACGAACACGTCCCGCAATTAATTCACTCTTAAACTAACCAAATTTAAATTGAGAGTAAGATCGCGTTATTAGGTTCGCACAGAAACCGAGGTATAGACTATCACTCGCTTGCGAAGAGAAGATTCGCTTGAGAAAAAGAAGTGCGTTGGTAGACCGATTTGGCTGAGCGCGGAATCACGACTCGTTTCCTCGAACGAATATTTCGAGACTTATAGGTAAATTGTAGAAGGTTATCGAGAATTAGAAACAAACACGAAAGGGGACAACGCATGAAATATGCCCAAATAAGGACATCGATGAAATATGTTTATCTCACGCTTCCCAAAGTCACCTCTCGAGCGCCAACACGCCGCGCGACGGATCGGCCCGTTGGATGCTCAAGGGTATATTCGTTTACCTTCGAGAGCGAACGAACAGACTATACTTAAGGCTTGATTTTGCCATTGTCGCCTAATTCTAACTATTTGTTTCTTTCTAGGAGGGCAGTTAGAAAGAGACGAAGAGACGAGTTAAATAGAGGCTAAAGTCAAGGGACTCTGGTGGAACCAGAAGTCTTCTTCGATACATAAAGTGGCTAAATAAAACAGGATTAAGGTTGAAAATTAATTTAAATCCGTGTACATGGGAATCTTGAAACACGTATCGAAAGCTCTAACTTTGGACTCACCCAGACGGCGATCGGGAGCGCGAGCGGGATCTGGATCTGGACGGACTTCTGGACACCGAGCTTCGCGAAGGGCTCCTGCTGCGAGAGACGCTCCGAGATCTTTCCCCGATGCTGCCCGCGTCGCTGGCACCTGCAACAAACAAGCCCCGTCGTGTGTATCCTACGTCGCACCTCAACAGACCCTAGCCTCGCTCGGCGAGATTTTATTACCTTCTGAATCCGACATGTCGTAGTTCCTCGCGGGCGCGCGCCGAGAACGTGGGAGAGTGTTACGAATTTAACGGAAGAGAGAGCGAGCGGCTGGTGGCCTCAGAAACGTACAGGAGCAAACGGGAGTACCGTGACACGATGCAAGCTCATGAACGCATCATGGCGTCCCGCGTCGTACGCAAGCGCGACACTCAACGAGGACCGTGCGAATTATTGGTGCGAATAGCGGACGGTCTTCTTCTTCTCTGGTTATTGGCTCCCGGCTCACAGACACTGAGCCGACACGGCCACGTCGAACCAATAGACTTAATGGTATTGCTTGGAATGTAGTGAATTGAACGATGCAATATATGGCCTGGTAATCGGGCCACACGCGGGAAGATGCCACCGCAGGATCAAAAACTTATCTTCCGTTGGAAGACGTGAGAACCGCTCGACGGCCTAGACGGAACTGAATAGCTGACGGGGGCGACGGGGCTCACCAGGGCTCACGCGGCTCGCGGGAGTCACGGGGCTGACGGAGAAGCGTAGAAGAGCACAGCGGAAGGAAACCGAGTGCGCCTCTAGCGGAGGCATCGGCGAAACAGAAAGCGCGCGCTTCAAACTTTTCCCATGAAGAATAGAGATATCTCTATTCTTCATGGGTAATCCGAAGACCCGGGTTCAAAACCAGACAAAAACATTGTTGGTTTTTCGTTCGATCGCCACATACGCGTTAACTTAAGCGACGTGAGTGACAAATTTACGGAGGAGGTGCTGGTGCAAGTTAATTTCGTCGTCAAGTCGATTCCCAAGAATGTCGGCAGAAGGAAGACCTTCCGGAGCGGCGAGTTCTTCAGTAACGAGATCGTATTCTACACGAAGGTGAGAAGAATGGACGGGGACTCTTCTTCCACGCGGGCGAGAATTGCTCTTCTTCAAACTTGGCCTGAGAATCGTGTAATCGTGGGACAACGTGGGAGTCTTTTTCAACAGGAAGGAGCTTTAGTGTTTAATGTAAAATAGAATAAAAATACAGAGAGACGTTTCGAAACCGCGCCCACACAGCACAGAAAGATTGCAGGAAGATTACAGAAATGTTACATTGCAAGATTGCAATATTGCAGCAACGTTGCGCAACATTGCTGCAACGTTTCTGGAGGATTGCGGCAACGTTGAAATGTTCGCCCTCAGAGAGATTGCAGTGCAACATTATAGCAATGTTGCAGTGCAATATTTTTGGAATAATTTGTCGTTGTTGTACATAAGCAGAGAATTTACTAATTATAAATATACCCACACAGCACAGAAAGAAACCCCCCCTCTATCACTCTCTTTCTCTCTCTCTTCGTGGTATGTGTATATAAAAAAAATGTAAAAATGTAAAAGAATAATAAACTCTATTTATAAAAGAATAAACTGTCAAACGTTTCAAATAATTTCGGACATACCTGTTCGTTTCTATCGCATGATGGTATATTTCACTGATGTTAACACGAGAGGTAAAGCAAAATGTAAAGTATTATAATTATTATTATTATAAACAATACTAATAAAATTAAAATAATGCCTACATGAAATTGTGACCAGAATCTTTTTATAGAAAACGTGGTATTTTTAGGCTACACAAGCCCAACATTTCCAAACCTAAGCGATGTACTTCAGTTGCCCATATAAAATCTAACAATATTTTATATAAAATTAAAGAATTTGGGCGTAAAATAATTACAAATTAATATGTAAATTTAAAAGATTATTCATAATAAAAACTAACAATACTACGATAAAAAAATGATTATATAAAGAGCAAAATTTTATAAATGGAAAATTATACTGTGTTGATTTATATTTTATAGTATGTGGAATACTATAAACTATAAAAGTATGTGGAATACAATATGATAAACGACAAAAATGTAATACGGAATTAGTACTTCTATAACCTGAGGATTTCATAATATCCATGAGAACCAACGTCTTCTTCTTCTTCTCACCATGTAATGTAAAATAAACGCGCATGCTTTCCATAGAAGAACAAAAGGCCAGCAGTCTTTAAATGCTGCATTAAATATTAACGATGCTATCCCCAGTTTTTATGACTGCTCATATCGTAAAGAAACTTTACACACGTACAATATGTCATAAAAACTTTTATTTCTGTTTTAATAAGACTAGAGGTAGAACATATTACATTAAAGTATATCATAAAATTGTCGATCCGAGCCGTACATGGTGCCCGGAGTCTGTGGGGTAAACGGCCCACCGGTGGGAGGATATCCGGGCCCGTAACCGAGCGAGCCACCTTCTTCTATACTGTAGCCGTCGAAATCGTTTGTCCTGGCGGGTGTGTTAGTAACTGACGGGTCCCAGGCGTCAGATTGTCCTGGCGTTCGCGATCCATCGTGAGACGGCGTCATTGAACCATAATGAGGGGTGCGAGAACCGTCTGTAACATTGAAATAGAAAAAATGTCCACACTTTCCACACGTATATCGTACAAACAGAAAATATACAGAATAAAAAGTATACTCACCCTCGTACAGCGGCGTCTGCCCACCGGCTCCGTAAGCCGGAGTTCTGTTGTAACTGCAGCCACCGTCCTTTATTGGGACGCCGACGTTTGCGATTCGAGACAGATCGACAGAGATTGTCTGGCACGTGGAGTGTAGTTCCACGCGCGCTGTTGTCTCCGTCGCATCCTTCACAATACCCACGTTTCCCTTGTAGGGGCCACCCGTTATTTTGATTGTATTTCCAATTACTTCCCTGTCGCGTCTTGCACCGCCGCCGCCACGGCCTCTGCCTCTTCCACCGCCGCCACCTCATCCAAAACCACCTCTGTAAGATTGATCAATAGTTGACTACAAGTAAACTTTGAAGGAGCATATCGAGAAAACAAATACACAAAACGAGAACGAGAGACCAACCCGCTGGGATGCATCGGTGAGGCAATTCCGCCGTTGTCGACGGACATTCTCGAAAGAAATCTGCACAAAATAAGAAATAAGTTAGTTTATTCTAGTGTATACGCCCTTCGGCTTGTACACGGCGCTTTTTCCAAGGAGCGTACCCAAATATTCTTACAAAATTACTATATCTCTCTCTCCTAATAAGAAATAAGTTAAATTCGATTAATAACAATAAACACGATTGCTAAGAGATTTTTTAATAAAACACAAACCCTTTACGACTGTATCGATTTCCTTCAAAAATAAGGAAATCTCCATCGCTGGTAACCTCCCCGCCGATAGAATGGATCGCTTCGGGATCGAATGGTTTCGCTGGCGGTCGTCTCTTCTTCTTACGTTTCAACGTTTCTACGCGCAGCACATCTGTCATCTCCTTAATCGGTACCATTCGCTGCTTCCATATACCCATCCTGAGATTTCCAACATTTTCGATAGCAGCTTTCACATGCGGCTGCTTGTAAGCTTCTATGTAAATGTAACCTTTAACACCTTCCGGCGCGACAACGGATTTTATCTGCAGGGGCTCGTCTAAATTTTTTTAAAAGGCAAATATTTAGAGATACGCGAAAAGAAACACGAGATCGTGGAGACACGATCTTTCAAATTTATATTTCTTACTGGAAAACTGATACGTGATGAATTTTCGCATCAATAGGAGCACGGTGGCTTTCTCTTCTCCTATTCGGCACTTGACCATCCACAAATAGGGATCCTTCACGCTGGGCAACAAAGTTAGCCGAGTGATTTCGTCGCTTATTTCTTCGCCGCCGTCGCCAAAGCGACGGGCGGCAATCGACTCGTCGGCATACTTCTTTCGGAGATACTCCTCAATCTCGTCCTCCTTATGCGAACTAGAGAATCCGTTCATTGCAAACTCGACCGTTACAGATACGAGATGCGCGACATTAGCTCGGAAATTTTAACACTTACTCCCAGAGGTTTGTACCTCTGCGTCGTCCTTCAATCTCGCGTGCAGTCGGTCCCAGCTCATCCACCTCGTTTCCCACGATACCAATTTCTTGGGCACCTTCCTCCCACTCATCGTCATCCTCAACTTCGTAGTCTACCTCAGCCTCATCGATGATAAAACCACCGAATCTGTCCTTCTTCTCTTTCTTCCTCGGCCTACCTTCTGAATCCGACATGTCGTAGTTCCTCGCGGGCGCGCGCCGCAAGAACTAGCGCCGAGAACGTGGGAGAGTGTTACGAATTTAACGGAAGCGAGAGCGAGCGGCCTCAGAAACGTACAGGAGCAAACGGGAGTACCGTGACACGCAGCTCGACGGCCCAAACGGAACTGAATTTACTGAATAGGTAACGCATAGTGGAAGCTGTGGAAGGGATAACCATGGTCGCGCTTGCGTACGACGCGGGACCATGGTGGAAGGGATAACATGGTGTGCTCAGTTCGACGATGTCTCTCTCTAAATATCTGCGCTCTCCGTCTCTTTCATGGTGGAAGGGATAACATGGTGTGCTCCTTTGACTCATGGACCTAAGAATCTCTGGACCGAGCATACAGCGAGGGGGCTGTTAAATTCGCGGTAAGGGGAGGATAGTACTGTCTCTTTCTACAAGAGGTCACCGTCGGGTATTTCCGCCGTATATCCGATGATTCCCGAAAGACTAGACAAGTCTATACTCGCTAACTTCTGAAGTCCAGAGATTCTTACGTCCATGTTCCCGTCGAGAAATTATTATGTATAGACTATACACAAACTTCGACTATCTTCGGTTACATTCGTCATCAAGCCGAATGTGACCTCTTGTAGAATGAGATACCAAGAGGACAGAAAAGGAGAGCACTCTCGTCCCCCTTACCGCAAATTTAACAGCCCCCTTGCCCGTCCTCCCACTTCGTGCTCGGTCCAGAGATTCTTAGGTCCATGCTTTGACTATACAGTTCGGCTAAACCACGCCTACTTTTGCTTTGCGACGGCTATAGATTCCCAGGGCTATCAACCGTGAAAAGTAAAAAACATTTAGCGTTGGCAAGTTGGGTATGCTGCATCTATCGTCCTTGTTTCACGCATTTCTTCGAGCGTCTTAGTTTCTCTTTCTATCTTTGTACACGCGAAAAAGAGAAAAAGGGAAAAGTACCGGACCGGTGAAATATCTCGACAAATATGGGAGATACGGAAAAGTCTTTCAGACAAAAGTTATACGGTTTTAAAAGGGCTACATAATGGTAAAATAAATTTTCAAAAAAAATTAATTTTTTATGATTATACATATAGAGGTCGCCGTCATTTTTTTAAATGGAAATCTCTATTGTTTATTATACTATCTTATTCTACTACTAATTAATATGAACAACTATTGTCTGAAAATTTTTTCAATTGCCACAAAAATTTTTGTGTATTGTAACACAAAATTTTTCAATAATTGAAACACCATTGCAACAGCATATTCCTGAGACTAAATCAAGTAAAAAAATCCTGTACTATTTTTCCCTCCGACAAACAGTTATCGAGAGATTATAAGGTAAACATTGAAAAAGTTATAAATTTTCTCTTGAGTATCTCAAAAAGTATTAGGCAATTGAAAAAATTTTCAGACAATAGTTGTTCATATTAATTAGTAGAATAAGATAGTATAATAAACAATAGAGATTTCCATTTAAAAAAATGACGGCGTCCTCTATATAATTATAAAAAATTAATTTTTTTTGAAAATTTATTTTACCATTATGTAGCCCTTTTAAAACCGTATAACTTTTGTCTGAAAGACTTTTCCGTATCTCCCATATTTGTCGAGATATTTCACCGGTCCGGTACTTTTTCCCTTTTTCCCTTTTTCGCGTGTACAAAGATAGAAAGAGAAACTAATTGTAAGACGCTCGAAGAAATGCGTGAAACAAGGACGATAGATGCAGCATACCCAACTTGCCAACGCTAAATGTTTTTTATTTTTCACGGTTGATAGCCCTGGGAATCTATAGCCGTCGCCACGGTCTTGTATACAGGTCCGGGGACTGCCTCTAATTTTCGATGGTGGGGGTAGGTCGCTTAGCGCGGAAATTCTCTTGGTGGCGAGGGACGCTGGAGGCCGGGAGGGATATCTGTCTGTCTTTGTCCCATGCACGGTAAACTCGACATATCCCCTCGGCCTCCAGCGTCCCTCGCCACCAAAAGAACATAGACTGCAACGCTGTGGCCATTACAAGAACAAAAAAATTTCTTCGCTAAGCGACCTACCCCCACCATATGAGTTACCAGACCTGTATGTAAGACCGTGGTCCAAAAGAATGGGACACGAAATCAAATTCACCTTATCTAGGTACATTGAATAATATAAAATTGCAAACGAAACATAAAATTGCCATGCAATAATTGATGATATTTTAACCGTTCAACTCTCTGCTGGACATAGTGTTACCCTCTGGAAATATTTATATCCAGCTACGTAGTTGAAAGCGTACACGTTTGTGTATATAGAGGCGCTAGTGGGTGAACGCGCCATTTAATCAATGAGCGTGTAGCTTCCTACGACCCGGTTTCTTTCTCTCGGGCACGTGTTTCGTTATCTTGTAAAGTTGAAGATATTCCCAGAAAATGCAGGAAGCTGTCAAAATGGAAGTTGACGAGAGTATAGTGAAGGAAGAGAACGTCGAGGCACCAGAAGTGAGTTACGAGGACAAGCTACGACTCGTCAATGCCATTGCTAACCCCATGGCACCGAAGAAGCTAACCAAAAAGATTCACAAGTGTATAAAGAAAGGTGAGTTGTATAAAATAATGTATAATTTGTAACAATTCTTCAGTGATCATGTACGAGCGATGTTCATTTATTGCAGCGTCCAAGCACAAGACTTACCTGCGCAACGGTTTAAAGGACGTACAGAAGTGCCTTCGTAAAGGCGAGACTGGGTAAGCTTTACTTCCTCCTTTCGAGCAGTGGATTGTACAGCGAGATATCACATACACGTTTCTCATTTTAGTTTGGTTGTCTTCGCCGGAGATGTGCATCCCATAGATATCATGTGTCACTTGCCGGTTGTATGCGAAGACAAAAACATACCATATTGCTTTATTCCATTGAGGACAGACATCGGTGCGGCGATGGGCATAAAGCGGGGCAGCCTCATGGTGCTCATAAAGGAGCATCCTGACTACGAAGAACTATACAATGAAATTAAAGCTTCGATGAAAACACTCTCTACGCCTTTATAGTTAAAGAGACATTAGACGTATTGTACATTTCTAATTTTAACCAATTTATATAAGATACAAAATAAATTATAGGCCCTGAAAGTAGTTTTCTGAAAATTTTCTTGGAACTCCAACAAGTATCTTCTTCCAGTTTTATACAAGTTACGCCTTATGCGATTTAATTTTGCCTGAGAAAGAAATTTTGTCTTTTCTAAACTTGGCTACGTTTTTAAAAAGGATATAATTAACCAAAAGGAATAGCAGACGGAAGTCCACCTATTGTAAGATAGGATCTTGATGTGGGATAGCGGGGCTTCTGTTAAATTAATAGGCATCATCAGTTTATTCGCCTATGAATTTGTTGCGAAATCTGCTTGGTGGGAAATTCATTGTTAAATTGTGTGATCGTCGTGAGAAAAGATTTGTGATTGAATTTGGATGCTGGAAATCTGTCTTGTATTAGAAACCTATCTTATAACGGAGGACTTTATATGTATCAATTGTTAATTATCGTTTAATTTTTAATTTCGTATTCTATCTCGCAAAAGATGCAAATAAAGAATTAATTTCCGTATGCGAAGTTATAAGCCAAGAAGTAGATTCCAAGTGCACAGTGTATGCGAATCACCTAGGTAACAGATAAACAAGTGGATTGTAGTCGTCGTCGAATATCAATATCAGTCCCCTTTCGAGTACGTCGTTCATCCTCGATATGTCTGAGGACATTGCGGGAAGCCTTCTCGCGCAGTATTATGGAATTTTCGATGGCCCGAGGACTGAAAAGTTTCCATCGATCCAGGAATGCGTGGGCAGCGTAGAGCACGACTCGGACAAACTGATCAACGAGCAATCGACCGTGGAGACGAACGACGATGACACGTCCAGGGAAACTGGGGTGCAGGTGCGAATTTCAATACGGTGCTACTGTTATTGTGAGACTGGATTTATTCTTTGCAGCTAGCAGTGATTGACACTACAAGTGATGATGATGTCTATCAATTTAACACAAACCGCGCTTTCCATATTAGGATTCTATCTCGTAATAAGACACTTTCCTCTACAAGTCCTAACATTATGGTTGCAGGAAAACGATGTTGAGAAGGAGGAGGAGAATTCCGAGGTTGATTCTCCGGCGAGATCCTCGCGAGTGTTGAAATCATTGGAAACTCTCGAAGACGGTGAAGAGACATCGTTCGAATTCGGTGTTCTTTTCGAAGCAAATGCAGCGGGTAATTTTCATGAAAATACGTGTACCTCCTCCGGCAGAGAGACACATGATCTTGTCACGTACAGTAAGACTGCCTCCACTACTCTAGGTAAGTAGAAAAAAACGTAATAAGTCAAAGTGTAATTTGAATACGTACTTTAATACCGTACGTCTCCACCGCATGAAAGGCCTGGAAGACAACGAAGGGAACGACTCGTATCTCTCGCTTAGCGAAGATCTACTGCCGGACAGTGCTTCAGACGTTTCTTCAATAGCAGGGAAGAAATCTACGATTACGTTTGTTCCATCTTTGAAGCGGCCGCCCAACAGGACTCCGTTGTACAACGAGACTTTCGTAGATTTAACGTGCACCGGTCTTACGTCACTCCCTATCGAAACGATTGAGAAATATCCCGCGATACAGGTAGGCAATACGAATAATTTTGGGAATTCGAAAGTGTTTGCAAGATCTCAATTTTAGATGCTGTACCTGGAAGATAACGATCTCCCCGAGCTTCCCGAAAAGCTTTTCGTTTCCCTGCAACATTTGCAGTGGCTGGACGTGCGGAACAATCTATTGACAAGTCTACCTACGAGCATTAAATCGCACCCGTCGCTAGAAACTATCTTGTTGCAAGGAAACAAAATCGAGAAATTGCCACTAGAACTTTGTGAGTAACTTCCCAGGTAGTCAGATGTATAGCAATTACTTTGTCTACTGTATCGTTTCCTTTTTTTTTATATATGTAACAGCTGTACTTAGCTCAACTTTCATTACAGGCTTGGTGCCGAGGCTTAAAACCCTCAATGTAGCACATAATCCCATCACTACACCGCCAAAGAATGTTGTAGCTCTTGGATGTGCGAGTATTCTCAGTTATCTCCGGTCAGAATGGAATAAATTGCACCCAGACGAGCCTGCGACGTTCGTGGAACGTAAGAATTTCAAGAATAAAGTTTATTATCACCAGTATATAATTAACAAGAGTAGCAAGTAAATAAATGTCTAATAATCCTTTCTACACTTGTAAAAATTTCAAATTTACGCATCCCATCAAATTTGCAATTTCGTCGCACAACAGCGATGTTATTTTAATAATTATTGAAATGAATTATCGAAAGAAAACTGCAATAATCATCGGTGCACTAATCGAAATGAAATAATATTTATTTTAGAGAAGATTGAACCGAAGGCATCGACGATCTTGTGTTATCGGTCTCCGCGTGAAAAGCGATGGAAATTGTCAAAAGTTCCGCGACGAATATCGAAGAGTACAAACGACCTCGGCGGTTCATTCAAAGGTTCTACGATCGGGAGGAAAGGTAGAGCTTACAAGCCCAGCAACAGGTACAACAACCCGCATAATCAAGCTTTTCTCGAGAATTTGGTAAACAGTATCAGCGAGACGCGTAACAATAGTGCAGCGGGTACTCTTTGCCCATCGTGCGCACGAAATTTTAAGGCTATCCGATGTGAGGACAAGAGTGATAGGAAGGAGGACGAGAGTAACAATGAGACGAGCTATAATCAGGACAAGAAATGCGATGGGCAGCGCGCATTTTTAAAACTGGTAACTTCGTGCCACGATGTCAAGAGAACTTGCATCAAGGGAGAGATCGCCGAGGTCGATGCTAAAATCCTGCATCTAACCGGACCGTCGCCCAGATCGTGTTACGTTAGACGAAACATTATGGAGTTGATAACGTATAAGCATTATCGCGAAAAGGAATGTAGAATTAAGACAATCAGTAACGAGACGAAACATATCGCGCTCGCGAAGTCACGTTACTCTGCAGTGCCTGGCGAGGAAAAAATGAAATGTAGGAACGTGGAACATCCGGAATTGATTTTCGATATTGTCACAAAAGACATGCGGAGAATGCAGTTGCGGCCGATGCAGCTGAAAGACTCGCGCAGCATATTATCGTGTCTGGAAAATTATCTCAATATCAAAAAAGCTGATTAGATCTTAAACTGTTTTCATTAATAATAATCAAATGTCGACAATTAATGTTAGTTAATGTAGATATAAAATGTCGCACAACTTTATGGATGTCGTGGCAAATTTGTTCGGAAATTTAGAGAAAGGTCTATGTAAAATGATTTACCTTTTTTAATTTATAATTGCATGTAAAAAAAATTGCGATCAATCTTTGTACTTACAATAGATGCGAAGGTAAAGGTACTAATATTGTCATGGAACAACGACTGCAATGGATTTCCAAAGCGAGAGACTTACTGAGCGTACAGTCGGCAATAATTCAAAGAACTAAGTAAGACATCTTTTTAAATTGTTCTTACTAATTGTAAACAGTACGCATAAACTGTATATAACACGCAGGGATTTAGACACTATAAAAGAGTGGAGACGTGACAAACGAAGCTTCAATAAAAGCATGGAAAAGACATCAAGAAGAACTGAAGGTATATAAAGACCTATCCGCCCTAAAAATTAAACTATATTTTAATGAAATACTTTATTATGTTATATGATATATAACATTAATTTGTTAGATGATATTCCATTTGCAATTAACATTGAAGATTATCCTGCAATTCGAAAACGTCTACAAAAAGTGGTATGATAATTTAATATGCTCATTAATTCGAAAATATCGAATTAAATTCAATGAGAATTTCTTTTTATTACTGTGCAATCTAGGGAGACTACGTAGATATCCACAAACAGGAAAAATTAAGACCAGTGTAAGTTCAAATCAGTAATGTACATTTTGTCAAAATATTACGTATAAGGCAACGTAACTTTAAACATTACTCGTTGTATTTCAGAAATATAAATCAGAAGATTAAAGAATTATCAGGATATCTGCAAAAGCTCGAAATTACAAAATCTTCAGAAATACTGACACCTAAATCTAAACAAAAATATCTTCAAACTGAAATTGAAAAGGTATATTCTACATTATTACGTTTCAAAGTTCTTTAAGAAATTGAAATTACTATCCTAATTTATTTCATAGCTCTCACAGTTTCAAAAGGAAGTGCACAATTTAAGAAGATACAACGAAATTATATCAGCTCCAATAAATTCTCCAAATAATTCATTTTAAAATACATTTTTTCTATTCAGATTTGATTTTTTACGAAAGTTTTAAGATTAGAAAAAACTCAATGTCTCTTGAAGTATTTATTTAAATAAAACAGTATTATAGCATATGTATTACAATATTAATTTCATGATAGCACATGTCAAGATAATTGGAGAGGAAATGAGTTTTCCATGTATACTAAAATGAAATAAAAATTGGTATATCAGATAAATACAGAAATTGTTTAATCAATAATGAAATAAGACATGAGGTTATTAAAAGACATATGTATTACATGTATTTCAAAGATGTTCACAAGAATGCTTAAAAAGATTTGCATCCTTTCCAATTTCCTTGTAAGTGCAATCGATCTTTTTTAGTCCATCATCGAATATATCCAGTACAAAAGTCCTAAAAGCAATTACCACCAAAGTATTGTACAAGAAGTAAAATCTAGCATATAAATCTGTGCGACGATCGCGAGAATGTGTTCCTTTTCGTTTTGTACATGGCACTCAATGAAGCTTTGTAGTAACATTTGGAGGTATTGCACAGAATTCTTGGAAAACTATTTTAAATAGCATAGTATGTTATTACTACAATATATGTCAGTACCGATAATAGATATAAGGCAAATAATCTATGTAAGTTCTTTTACAATTGTTTTTCTAATCTTATAAGTTATCTTACAAGTTGAGGACTTGAATAAGTTCTCGCTGTTTCGCGACAGATTGTGTTACCTTAGACTTTTCGCATCGGGCAATACTAGCCAACTTCATCGTGAAGCTCCACCATTAGGTTCGAAATTACAGTATAAGTCATTTCGCCGAAGTGTAAACAACATAGTTTTTGGTCCCAAAAAAAAGAGAATTTGCGGGGAATTTTACTGCACTACTTTTTTCAAAAAAATCTGCAGCTGAAGCACATAGAATTTTTGCGAAGACTTACGGCGACCATGCTCTGTCAGAAACAACATGCAGAGATTGGATTAGACGCTTAAAAAATAATGATTTTGATGTTGAAGATAAAGAACGCTCTAGCGCACCGAAAAAGTTTGAAGACGAAGAATTTGAGGCATTACTCGATGAAGACCCATGTCAGACGCAAGCTGAACTTGCAGAATCATTAGGAGTTAATCACACAACAGTTTACAAACGTTTAAAAACATAAGGAATGATTGAAAAGCAAGGAAATTGGATGCTTTACGAATTGAAGCCGAGAAACGTCCAACGGCATTTTTGCACGTGTAAGCCTGGTCATGCATCAACATCGACACTTTCATTCTTACGAAGATGTCAAAGAATGGGTCGATTCTTGGATAGTCTCAAAAGACGTGTCGTTTTTCCGACGTGTAATTCATATGTTGGCAGAAAGATGGGAAAAAGTAGCGGCTGACGATGGACAATACTTTGAATGACATGTTCTTTACGCATTCATTTTCACGAAAAGACACCGAGAACTTATTCACGTCCCTAATATTTATATTATGTCTATACACTTCATACATTAACATATTTAACTTGTACAGTTAATGCTGAATTTATTAATACCTTCATAGAGACATAATAAGAAATAAATTACTCAAATATTTCTTACGTTATTGTTCTCATTGTGCTTTCTATTTTATATTGCATTAACATAAAAGTTAACATAAAAAATTCTTTTTCTAATAATTAATATGTTCTATGTTACTTAATAGTGCGTTTCAAAGTGTTTGATTGAAGTAATATTTGTGTGAAACAATTAATATGGAAAAGAATGCCTAATACATATCTCGCTCATGTCCAATAACAATGAACTACGATAAAGTAATTTTTTTTTAAATGTAAATGTTACATTTTATAATAATTTCACTCATTATATAAGACATACTTATATACATGTATATTGGAGTTGTAGGGCCGATTAAGACATGTAATCTATAATAAAAACTCTATGTGAAATTATATTATATGTGTATATACATGAAACTTAAAAAATCTTACTGTTCTGAAGACTTCAATGTATATATTACAAATTTATAGTTGAGCAGTAAACGCTATGACATCTATTCGTACCTAATATACATCTGATTATCAGATGTAGATTAGAGTTGCATATTTAAAATCTAAATTGTGTATCATAATTTCTCACTCTTCATTCTTACATTCATTTGAAAGAGTTAAAGCGCATTTAACGGAAAATGTGCTTTAAAACTGTACTCAGTCATATCTATGTCATTTCGTTAAGAAAATACTTTTATTAAATAAATTTGAAAGTTCCAACGACTCATTAATGAACACACTGGCATTTCATCACGTTCATGTTGAGACTTTTATATACATACCATTTTTAAGAAGAAACCCAATCAGATTTAAACCAATAAAATATTGTTAAGCGTTACATATACAATATATAATATATAAACACAACTGCTAACAAAATAAAGAATACAATTGATATTGAATTGAAAACAAACCTGATTATGCTTACTTATCTATTTTTAACATAACAGAAACCTAACAATATTAGAACTTGACGTTATTTATATTATATACACATATGTATACATTCGTATCAAATACATTTAAAGATTTTGAGAAAGTTTATATCGAATATATTAGAAATAAAGTGTTACACATGTGTCAGAGTGCGGATATTTTCAAGAAAGTATACTTATCGCATTTGTATGCTTACATTTAAAAAGGTCTTGAATGAAGGCGTCCAATTTTATTACTAGTGTCTGTTTTTTTTAGATGTCCTAAGAAACCGTTGCTTTCTCAGGAGATGGTCCAAGTAGATACACTTTGTTAACGAGGATTATTGGAGTATTAATTCTCTGTTAGAAACTTCTACACATGGTTTTAATTCCAGGATATTCCTCGTGCGCTGGATTTAAATCAACGAAGCCGAGTTTGCCATAGAATTCGTGAGATTCTTTATCCGTTGTCGACATTGTTGTGTGTACTCCGAAAGAACCTATTCCGCAAAACATATACGACAATTACGTGTATTTGCGTTTGAAACATAAGGTATGATATTAAATAATACTTAATTATATTAGAAAAAAGTATATATCATTCAATTTTCAATAAAGGTCAGGTTGTCTACTTCATTAAGTTTCAATAAAGAACGTACCATTTGCTCTTAAAGCTGCAAGAACGCAGGTTATTAAACGTTTACAAATAGACTGGTCTGTCACACTTGGTAATATACCGCATACAATCTTCGACGGATGCTGTCTGCACAATTGTTCCGATACGTCCGGGATAGATGAATGGAAGTATTGTATGGCATCCTACATAATTTTTATTTAAAAATCGTCAGTACGATTTACATAAAATAGAAATACAGGTAAAATCGTTAATGCATCCGTACCTGAATATTTTGTGGCAGCTCGCTAATACTGTTGTCCAAGGGATATTTCATACGCAGTTCAGGAATCCAGGAAACAAGCATTTTCTGATTGTAGGATTTTACATTCAATGTAGCCACTGCGTAACCCAACACGCCATTTTCATCCTCAACAACCATACATAACTCCGGATTTAACGTTAGAAACCCTCCAACAAGTCTAGATAGACAGACGTACATTCATAATTTATTCAAGAAAATAGAAAAATAATATAGAAGAGTCCCCTATTATGTGATAGGATCCTAATATGAATTTATTGCGAAATCTGTTTAGTGGAAAATTCATTGTTAAATTGTGTAATTGTTGCGAAAGAAAGATTTGTGATTGGATTTGGGTGTTGAAAACCTGCTATCTCATAATAGAGGACATTCCTCTAATATTATACGCACCTGTCTGCTACAGCTGATGAAGTTGTACAATCATTAATTTGATTGCACACCGCATAAACAGCTTCTTCATCACTTGGTAAGTATGGTCGAATCGTATATATCTTACTGCTGGGCACTTCCGGTGCTTTATAGACGAATAAATCATTGCCACTATCGACTGGGATTAATCTCTAAATGTGAGAATAATATTCTTCAATGTTCAGGCCATTGTTCGTGTGGTAAAACATGAATGCACGAAAATTAAATATACCTGTAAATCAGCCGTAAGTCCACCGCGGAAAACCCATGGCTCCTGGTCTCCACTCATAAATGTTTCTTTCCAACCATTTGAAAACCCTATCCCAAGACAGAATTGTTTTTAATAAATCACGAAATGCTGGAGTTAAGTTCGCGCATTATGCGTGTAGTTTAATTTCAATTGGCTTCCACTGCTCTGGGCATCAATTTTGCTTAAATCTTTAACATGCAAAGGTACAATTCGATTGGAAATATCTTTCTTTCTCTCATTTATCTTGGAATCTTTCCGCTCCGTGTCAATGGGGGTATGAGAAAAAGAATGATTTATCCAATCGGATAATTAAGGTGCACCAAGTTTTACAGATTCAAAATAAACATATTATACGCGTGGAGAGGTAAATTTTATAATGAAAGTATAGTACTTTTCTTTTGGCAATGTATAATATAAAGCCGAAAATTTATGTCTAATATCTCAAGAGATCTTAATTGTTACTGTATTAAATATTATACTTTATTCTAGGTAAGCTAATTTTAGTCAAAGAGAGATAAAAACTTGAATTTGAATAGATGTTGCACCAAAGCTCGCGCAATGCTAAACTCTTGAAGCACTGGATTAGGATCTAGGAAAAGTGGAATAATGGTCCAGTTTGCCAATATGCGCCTGAAATAAAATTCTTATCTCGCCTGAAAAGAATATTGTTTCTGAAACTAAGTAAAACAAATTAGTGCGGGCAAGTTGGCAAAAGGAGCGGTAGGAGAGCATTGATCACTTAAGATAAAAACAATAGATATTTTTGCATATCGTAATACCGTTGTTAATCTACAATACATCGTCATATATTCGCGAATCAAAAGATTCAGAAAGCATTTTTTATCGCAAATGATCAAAGATTACGATTTGCAAGTGGGAGATGTTCAAGAGTTTACAACTTCCTACAGTTGGCTAAATTGTGCTAATTCTATGTAATTCTTTGATGAACTTACTTCAGAAACGCAAAAATAGATTAAAATTGATATACGAGTATTTAAGTTTTAAATATCGCATATTTTTCATTTATATATTTATAAAATCTGATAGAAAGAGCTTTAAAATAATTATATATATCCGAATTATCATACATATAAGCATTCAACAAAGAACATAAGATGTTAATACTAAAAATAATCATTAAAAATGTAACAGACTGTAAAACACATATGTACATAACTTTACTATTTATTATGTAAAAGAAGAGCATTGAACTCATGAATATATATCCATAATCTTTGCGATATACGGGAAGTATGTCCATCATGTAGCGAATCGCGAAAATAAATGTGCTTTGTACACATTGATTTTTCGAGCTGTTGCAACGCTGCTTCTATGCATACATTTCTCGCGCGTGTCGAACGAGACGATATCTTTTGTAAAGTCCCAAACAAACATTTAGAAATGCAACTATCACTGCAATGTTTGAAACTTTATTATTTCGCGCGCTTTCCGCCGTGTTACTCAAAGACTGTTAAACCGCATACATGTGTAGCTGCCTTGGGTAAACGTCGTCATCGTCGAGGGGAATCTGCCAAACGCTATCAACAAGACAAAAGAACACAGAAATGCGAGTTAGTGAATGAACCAAAGCTATACTGATCCTGATACATTTACATTTCACAGGAGAATATTCGCTACAGATTTGAAACCACATGCAAGTTTCATTGGAATAAACATGTTTAGAAAAACATGTACATATCATATAAATATACATACAACTTATAATTTACATAATTTTAATACGTAATTGCATAAAAATTTATATATAAATTTATTATAGAATAAACTCCCGTTTCATGTTATCTGTAAAGAAAGTCGATTGATATGTTAATAGCTGGTATAAGAATACTTTAAATCCAGTATTTGTTCACCTCCGTAAAGATGCTGTTGAATGTCATCTCATAAAATCACTGTTTTTGCCATTGCTACAAATGATCTTTTCGCCATTGCATGGGAAAGCCACATCAATTTATTTCACATTTTCAATTAGACATATATCGTTTATGAGTCAGATTCAGATTAAACAATTTTAATCACGGATATAAATTTGTTCGAGTATAACAAATCTGTATATATCAATTATGCGGTAATGTAAATTTTATTAAACAGAAAAACTGATGTTGTGGCTTGCCTGTATAAAAATCGTCAAAATAAATCAGCGGCCGTTAGTCAGAATCGATTTTAGGAAGATATGAAAACGTTAAAGGCAACAAAAAGCTTTAAAGTATCATTCAGATAAATATCAATTGTATATTTGTAACACGTGAATTATAATAAACTTCACTTAGTTTCTGTCACATTCATTTAATCTCTACTCACATACTGTCTTCGAAAGCATTCGATGAGTAGAAACATGTATGCTTTTATGTAATTCTGACTTACGGCCAAGGTTTTCCCTGCGCGCGCCAATGCGATGCATTCATCTCTAATGCGCAGAAACAAATGCATACTGAGTTCACGGATATGCAATTTATAGCATGTGGCACCTCCGAACATTACTGATAATTTTTACTACTTGATATGCGTACAAATTTCGATTATCTAATACATTATAAACATGGTAAAGAAGCAGAAGAAACTCACTATTAACGTATCATTGAAGTTGTCTTCCTTTTGAACAAGTTTTATAAAAAAGTTTCCAAATTGTTAGATATCCCAAAAACAATTAAATATCGCTTGAGCAAAAGGCAACTAAGTTTTCTTGTACTTGCCTGTACATAAGCGACATCAAATGCATTGTGTAGAAAATTATGTAGATTCATTAATTAATCAGTAATTTACGGATCTCGAAGGCAGATATTTAAAAAAAGATTTCACAGTGTTAGTTTACATCAGTTTACAAGGAAATATAACAATTGTCATGTATTATTAGTCTGACAGAAATGTTATACCAGTATTATAACATTTATGAGTACTGAATATATTATATATGTATAATAAATTATTGATATATCATATTTAACATCAATATTTCTGTTTGAACTTCAGGTGAAGCTGGAATTGAACAATTCAGTTCTATCTTGACAATAATTTTGATAATAATCCTTGACAGAGCCTAAGCATTGCGATACGTTATTGTATATAATTTATCTTCAAATTTAAACCAGTTTAGAAAAAGATTTTCCTTGTAAAAAGACAAAATTATATAACAAAAAATAAGATAACGTTCACTTACCGATACGCGAGACACTTTTGTTCTGAAATATAAGTATAGGTAATAAATTATAATATTTCTAAGAGAAGTCAACAACAGCATTTGTCTGCAGTTCAATGAACATAAATAATTTTAAATTTAATCGAATTTAATATCGAAAAGGTTAATTTTTATAAGATAAATTATTATTTGGACACATGCGATTGTTACTGGAGTATATAATAAATATACATATACTTGGAATTAGAAAAATCAGATAATTAACTTGTACATTTTTACCAGCATACTAGCATTTCAAATAGACTTTCTTTATACATAATAAAAATAATAGCAAAACTACATATATCTATTAAAGTTCTTGATTCATACATATTTCTGATATTTGACAAGAATTAATATGTACTGTGCGTATCACGTTAAAAATAGCAATTGAATAAGAATTTTGAAAAATTAAAAATTACTTTGTAATTATTTAAATTTATAAATACAAGCTTGCTTGAGTTTTTTAGAAATTATCTGTAACTGTAAATCGTTATTGCAATTACAATTTAATTTTACTTGCTAATTGTTAAAAAATAAACCGTTTCTCCGGAGATGTATTTAGTCTATCTTTAATATTGTCAACATATCAGATAATATCTCGTACATGAATCAAATGCAACTTACCCAGCCATTTCACGTAACTATTTAGAAGAGACACGACTCCCCTCATATCCCATACATATGCGTACAGGTCGTACAGCAGCTCACGATTATTACAGTATGTCAGCCTTTGAAATAATCTGTTTACCGCATTACACATATCGTTCAATTTAGCCGCACGGAGATGCCATTCATGAATCTGAAACCATGTATCATAAATTCATGGTCATCGAATATGTTCAAATAATTCTCTTCCATCCTGCGACTCACGTCTGCTTCAGACGTTGATTCTTCTTCCTTGGACTTCTTCATAACAACATAAGCGTTGCTTTTCAACCAGTTAAACTCTTGCAACAACTGAATCCCTTGACCCCCATGCTCAAACGGTAAGTAAAATAGATCGCATAAGAGCGACAGATCCTCGTGCGTGAGTTGTTTGTCGACATCCACGGGTTCCTGCGATACCGCGTCCGCGTTATCGGAGCTCTCGTGATTTTCACTGTCGTTCTCTATAATCATTTGTGTACCATTGACCGTGGGAGAAGTGCCGTCCACTTCTACTTGCATACTCCCGGAAGCTTCGCTGCACGTCTAGCGAGTAGAAATCACACGGTTATACATGCATAATTGAATTCACGAAAATTTTTAACGACTTACAGAAATGTTATCTACCATAGCGTCATCCTCCGCTGGAACTTTTGCCATGTGCGCCGGCGAGTTGTTTGGCGTTGTGTTACAGTCCATGGGTTCTATAGAAAACAAACCTGTTGTGGGCGTTCCAGTGCTCATAGTGGTGGATAACGTAGTCAGGACAGGCTCGCTGACCACCTTTATGTCCGACACTAAAGAATTCATCACAGGCCCCGACGGAGGTTGCGCGAAGCTATCGCTGACTGTTACACTTGAGCAAACTTCGGCCAGCGCTTGAAGATGATTAGAATTCGCTACAGGCGTGGGCGTGGCAGAAACTGTGGTTGTTGTCGTCGACGTAAGACTCATACAGGTGTTGATGGAGGGAATTATTGGGATAGGTATCGTAGGCGCGACACACGGCTGCGGTTTGACTATCACTCCCCAAGCTGCCTTCTTCTTGTTGAAGTCTAATAACCATTCGCTTATTGCACTTTTCAGGGCGTGTCGAGGATGGTACATATTCGCCGACAACGTTGACGGGACATCTTCACCGAGAACGCCATCCTCCGTCTCGGTTTCTAACTTAATGTCCGCTGATACAGTATCGTCTGCAACGTAGGGACCGCGTCTTATCAATTTCTGTGCCATTAGTACTCGACTATTAAATGTATAAAGCAGAGGATCGATTTCTAATAACTCTTGGAAATTTATCTTACAAGAGACACGAAAAAGGAATCTACAAAATATAGCGAGAATCTTACTTAAGCTTAGATCTCTTTTTCCATCCACATTGCATCTGCTCCACTGAGCTAATGTATGAATTGCTACAAAATTCGCTCCGTATTCGCAATTAGGATTAGTTAAGACTCCTCTAAGCTTGGGTATAAGATCAGGAGAACGGCCAGAGTATGGTCCAAGGAACACCCTTTTCTGATCGTAATCGTTGGCGTGCAAGTTATCCCAGATGACGGGCGGCCGCCTGAGCACTTCCGTGATCTCTTCGATGGACTCGACGGTTAAAAGTCTCGATATGACTTTAGGTCCGGTCCACATTATGTCAATTTCCTGAGCTAATTTACTTCCGAGAGTGTTGAGATACTCGGAAGATGCGACATTTGGCATTGCGCGCGTTGCGCAGTATTGCGTGGGGCACAGGAGAAATCGCGGTTGGCCGAGATGTTGAAAAATATCATTCGTCACAGAAACCTACAAGCAAGACAAAGAACGTCTAACGCGTCACGTGTGACGACGCATTGGCTCCGTAGAGCAATAGACTCGTGGTTGGACTCCATTTGTAAAAGTTGTAGGTAAAGAACGACAACTCAATTTGGAAGCAGTGAACTGCACACCGAGATACCATAGTATAACTAGTAGGTCCACTCTCTGTTAGTCCCCTTGATCTTTGCGGTCCCGACCACGTGATGTTCCGCCATGCACTCGGCCAGGATCCAGCGACGTAGGTGTGTAAACATCATCAGAGCCACACTACAGCACATACAACTTTTCTTTCATTGGTCTGCTCAGGACAATGTCGAATGCGCAGAAGAGATTGACGCAAAACGAAACAAATGGCGGAGTGGACCTACCAGTTATACTATGGAGATACTAAGAGCTGTTACTTGCGCACATACATTATATGAATACTGTAAACAATGTACACATACTTGAGCGTGTGCGAACGACTGAAACACTTCTTTGTCGGCTTCACTCATTTCTGGCTCTATGTCGTCGAACAACAGCGCGAATGCCGTACAACCGAACTGGCTGACTTGCTCCAGTTTCCTCTTCAACGCGGTGACCTCCTTCGAGCTGGAATACGTGATATCTAATCCCGGGGACAAGGCGTAGTAAAAGGTTATCCCGTACTCCCTAGCGGCTGTGATCAGTCCAGTCAGATGTTCGGCTTCCTCCACGGTGTACAGATCCCTCCAATAAGCACGGTGCTTGTAATCGTCCTTCGGCGCGTACAGATAAGAGTCCATTCCCCATTTTTTCAATCTAATCACAATTTACAATCAAATACCAGCATCATAATGTATCACTACATAATAGAAGGAACGTGAATAGACGATATTCCTTCATTCAGACTAACTAATATCAATATCTCGTCCCCGCGAATCTCCCTCCGGATTGTAAATCGATTTGCAAGGCGGGCTTACTTTTGGAACAGATCCTTCCGTTGCTCGGTGGTCCATGGTCGCCCGTAGAAACCTGCGAACGGAGAAATGTGTCAGACGTCCGGGAGGGGAGGGCGGAGCGAGTGTCGCACCATAAGAGGCTCGTTCGGGTTACATTCCCGGACAAGTGCCGTCCACCACGTACCTTCCACCACGCCGCAGATGAAGTTGCCGTTCTTCGTGTTGAGATTCGCGGCCCCGTTGGTCTCCGTCATCGCGAGTGGTCGCGCGGGACAGGCGCGCCCGGCCGTCGTCGAGGATCCAGGAGGCGGCGCGAGTCGTCCCTTCCCCCTCGTGGAACGCGGCGGAGGCGACGGGAGGCAGACGGAGGCGCGAGCCGCGGGGCGATCACTGGACAGCTCGCGTCGCTACGCGTACGACGCGCGACTCGCAGGCGTGACACGCGCGGGCATAACTCGCGTCGTCGCGGAGATTCCCGGGGGAAAAGTGCTCCAGAACGCGAATCGGTAAATACGGACCGTAGCCGACGCGCGCCGATCGATACCGCCGAACGATCTGTCGATCCATCGAGGCCACGGACTCGGCGGAGTAGGAAGAGGGCGACGCGACGAGTGCGCGACGCTCCCGCGCCATCTGGCGACCGCGGCGGGAATCTTCTCGCGAGACTATGGCCGGTATTCGTAGTCGAATCTTCTGTTCAAGATGAGCCTATCGCGCGATGCCAGGCAACAGGAATAGGGAATAGAATTTCTGACGCGTTGGATTGGTTGGAAGAAAATTTCCGACGAATCCAACGCGTCAAAAGCTCTATTCCCTATTCCTATTGCCTGGCATTGTGTGATTGACTATAGTCTTGAATTTGTCTAAAGATGCTGTATGGAACATTTGATTCTTTACCGAGTATCCAGAGACGATCATAGACCGGTCTATGATCGTCTGGATGATTTTATCTAAAGATGCTGTGTGGAACATTTGATTGGCTACCGAGTATCTAAAGATGATCATAGATCGGTATTCGTAGTCGGATCTTATATTCGAGACCGTCTCAAGATCATCTTTGGATACTCCGTAGCCAATGAAATGTTCCGTACAGCATCCTTAGGGCCTGAGCAGAATGGTTGTCTTATACTCTTAAGACAGCCTTAAGACAATGATTGAAGTTTTAAGCCTTAAATTTGTCTTGAGGTAACGCACAATAACTGTCTTATGTCTCGAGACATGAGTATAAGACAGCCATTCTGCTCAGGCCCTAAGTCTGATATTACATTTGTCGTACGATTTAGACTTGGGCCTGAGCAGAATGGCTGTCTTGTGCTCATGTCTTGAGACATAAGACAGTTATTGTGCGTTACCTCAAGACAAAGGCTTAAAACATAAAACATTGTCTTAAGGCTGTCTTAAAGCCTATCACACAATGCCCAGGCAACAGGCAATAGGAATAGAGAATAGAATTTTTGACGCGTTGGATTCGTCAGAAATTTTCTACCAACCAATCCAACGCGTCAAAAATTCTATTCCCTGTTCCTATTGCCTGTTGCCTGGCATTGTGTGATAGGCTTTATTCTCGAAAAATATCGCATGCGATATTTCATGAATATCACTAGAATATTAAGTATAATATTCTGGTGACATTCATAAAACATCGCATGCGATATTTTTCGAGAATAAAGGTCCAGGCCCTTAGATAAATTCAAGACGGTCTTGAATAGAAGACCCGAACATGAATACCGGCCCTAGTTTGATTTATGTTCGTTTCCGGAGTAACAGTTGGAAAGAGGCAGAGAACAAATTATGCGAAGCCTAAAGTTAAGCGACGTGAGACCGGGCTTTAGAAAAAGAGCGGGCGTTTGTCTGTGAACTGAAGGGACGAGAGGTATATTGGCGCGGGGCGCCCATGGAAACACGTCGGTCGCGAGTCTTCCGTGAGCGAGTACCGAGGAGCGCCGCGAGATGTCGCCCCGAGTATCTTCTCGCGCTGTTCAAAGTTCCGTCGCGCGGGCGATCGGGCGCGCGTTCCCGCGTCTTTTTCGCGAGGCAGGGCACGCGATCGCGCCCGCGCTCGGTCATCGCGTATTTGCAAAGACAATTATCCGCACTTCCGTGCAACGTGGGACCTGGGAGCGACCGGACACGCCAGAAATGGACTCAAGTAAGCCGCTCGGACCGCCGTCGCGATATGAATCGCGTCGCTTCTGCATGCCCGCCATATGTATTTCCGCCCCCCCGGTGAACTTTGCGGTTTCCAACGATGCTCGCCTTGCAATTTGTCCCGTCGTCTCAACTTCACGGCGGCGAGCTCGCGTTTGCTGCAACAAGCGGGTGAGTTGCGAGGGCGTGAATCGCGCAAAATTGCGTAAAAAATAAAATTGGTTATTTATTAGGTTAATTACGGTAGCTGCGCGCCCGTGATTTACTGATACGAATGCGCGCAAGGTAAAACTTTGCGCGTGATACCGTCACGACAATGGCGTTTCCACGCAATCGCTGTTGCAATCGCGAACTGCACTCCCTGACGAGAATAATATGTTTGCAAGGAGTTTGTTCAAATGTCGAGTCAACGGTTTATTTGAGTTTTTCAAACGCTTATTCAATCCCCAGTGAGAAATGATTCGTCGATCGACGTCAATTCGACGGTGTCGATGTCGATTCGACGTCGTTTCGACGTCGATCGACGAATCATTTCTCACTGGGTCGTTTGTGAGATACAAATTTAAACACGGAGTTGTTTACGACGTGTTCACGGCTACAAGTGTTAAAATTGCGTTCAATGATACAATGTCAAGCGTTGGCCATCATAAACATCAGTGTTTTACTGACCGTATCCGGCAATTTTAACAATATACAAAATTTATTGCAAAAAATATTACCTCGGCCAGAGTTTGAACCTGGACTTCCCTACACGCCAGACGGGGCGTCTCACCAGTTCGACCAGCGAGGCGATAAATTTTCCGTATTATTAAAATTGCCAGATACGGTCAATAAAGCACGGATGTTGTTAATTACTGCGCTGGCGACTTTTAAGAATATTCTTATTAGTTTCCATTATAATTTTCTGAGTGTTCGCAAAATGTTACGGTCAGTAAAGAATTAACCGGGTGTTTCCAACGTACTTCCAAGCGTAACCGTCAATAGAACTCTTCACGAACAATGTAACTATCGACAAAACTCCCCATAAATAAATATTTAAAAAAATACTCAGAATTGAAACAACATATGCTGGGAAATAATTTTATTTAATAAAAATACGACGTTTCGACCAGTAATACTGGTCCTTTTCAAGTATAAAATTACGTTACATCCATCAAATGTTACAGCAAGAGATGGCGCAGAAAGAGAGATGGAGAGAAAGAGATGGATGTAACGTAATTTTATACTTGAAAA